GATTTTATATATATATATATATATATATATATATATATATATATAGAGAGAGAGAGAGAGAGAGAGAGAGATGGCAAAATCTTCTTCTTTGTAAATTAGCCCTCAGAAAAGGGGGAGTGAGCTCCTATACTTAAGTCCCTACAAAACCTATCAATTTATGGGACTAAATCTCAATTACTTTTTTCTGAATCACTGTCCTAATATTATGCATCCACATTAGTTAGATTTTTGTTACTATAATGAAATACCTGGGCCTTGCTAACTTTACAAGGAAAAGAGATTTATTTACCACACTGTTTTAGAAATTTCAAGATACTAGCATTAGCTCAGTTCTGGTGATGATTCTTGCTGGCACAGTCCTGAGGCGGCATCCAACACCATGTGGAAAGACGCTGGGAGCACACATATCTATGACTGTTTCTTGTCTCTCTCTATCTCTCCTCTTATAAAGCCACCAAGACTCAAACACTGATGACTTTCTCTAAATCTAGTCATTTGCTAAAGGCCCCACTTCTAAACACCATAGGCAAATTAAGTTTTCACCCTCTTAGAACCTCTAACATATAATGCCAGGAATTAAATTGCTGCATGAGTTCAAGGGAATAGACCACATTTAGGTTTAACTTTAATCTTTGAATAATTTGTATATTTCAGGAGGATCTGAATTTTTCTGATGAGGATATATTATTTTTTGTAGTTATGAAAAATGAATTAAAATTGGTTTATAGACAATGATAATGAAATCTCTAAACATTATAATTATTGATTTCTGTTAATACTCATTGAGTTTTTTTCCCCTTGGGTACCACATAAGTGTCACTGTAGTTGTGGCCTGGTGAAGCCAGTGTTATTTGAGTGAGTGTATAAAGATATTTAGGGGAAACTGTCATCAATCTATACATGTGAAGGAGCTACTGGCTGCTCAGCCTGGTAGGAGTACAAAGAATGTGTGTAACAGTTCCCAAATTCAGGATGCTTCGTGGCCCTCGTCAGTCAGGCAAGACTGACATATATATAAAGAGGTAGTATGATGTAGGAGCTGAGGGGAGAATCTCTGCTACCAGATGCTAGGTTTGAAGAGTAGGGGACCTTGGACAGGGCTTTTAGCCTTACTGTGTGTTAGACTGCTCATGTGTAAAATGGGGTGGTAACCTGTGAAAATGAGCGTGAGGAATAGCAAGGTACTCACAAGTACCTCCCTCCTAAGGTTGGTTTGAGGCTCAATGAGTCAATATCTGCAGCGTACTTAGAACAGAGCCTGGTATGCAGTAAACATCCTTCTGGAGGAAGAAATTAGAACTCACTGCCTAACCTCCACTAGTCCTGGGTCAGGATTCCTAATGCTACCATGTACTCATCCCCTCCAAATATTCTATATGAAGTCAAAATAACTGCACTTCAAATGCTGGAGGTTCAGTGAGACACAAACCCAAGCTGAGAATCTGCATTGCAGGGGCTCTGGGAGCACCCCAGATGGCTGTGGGTGTTGCTTTTTCAGCAGCACAGCCCTGTGGCACTGAAACAAACGTGCTGGCTTAGCCAGCCTGGACTGCCTTACAGAAAAGACTTTCCAGTAAGTTCCACAGCCATAATCAGAGGTTTCCTTAGGTAAACCATCAGAACACCAAAATGGAGGAAATAGTCGTCATTTCTGTCAGAAAAGAATGGCAATCCACCCTTGAGAATCCTTGCTCCTATTCAACTAGTTTCAGTTAAACAATACCCCGGATGTTCTAAAGGATATTTCTCAAGTAGACTCTGAATGGAAGTCACACTTTCAAGAGCCACCACATCACTGTGGATAATCACCATGCTAAGACTGAGGG